GTTTGGCATGCTTCTCTGCACACCTCAAACGTCCCATAGGGTAAATATAAATTATGATCAGTTCGCTCTATCCTCAGACATTCATTACAAGGAAATATGAAAGTAAAAAGGTGCTATCTCCTTGCCGTTTGCTCTTTATTATACATAAACAGAAAACACTTAGCATGTAAAATTAATGTGAAAATTATTCCCGGGGTAAACTATAAACACAGAAGTTACCCCGCACATTTACCCTTTTTTTCTCCTTCCCCTAGATCAGAGTGTAATTGCCAGTAATCAGGTCTGTTTGCTGCTGATAAAACCACTCTGAATGCGAGGAACCCTCTTTGTGTGATGACTCAATTATGCCAGAAGTGGCTCATCAAACCTGGCCCATCAGCTGCTTTAATAAATAAGGAGGAAAACTTGCTGCAGGCGCATTATAATTCCATTCATTCCATAATTAAATCCATTCCAGTTTTAACCCTTCACTCAGTGTGCTTCTGGAAGAGGAAACAAAAACAAGGAGAGAGGGAGAGAGAAAGAGAAGGGGGGGGTTGATACACACCAGACAGTGACCTTGCACAGAGCACCCATCCGTTCCCTATAATTCAAAATGATACTGTTGAAGAAAGGTTAAGAGAAAAAGGCTCGTGGAGAAAAGGATGGGAATCAGTTAAGACGTGGCTCCTGTTTTTTATGTATGCATTGTTTCCACACACAGCCTTAGACAGTAATTATATTAAAGGAGTAATCTAATCATAACAGTTGGTTGGTTGAGTGTGCAGCACTGACATTTTGAAATCTTATTTTGTGTAATCTCATTTGCCTCTATCATCTCGCCTGCACCCCCCACCCCACCCCCTATCTAAAGGAAATGTAAATAATGTAATTAATTTTATGGTCTCCAGAATCTTACTTTGCGACTCCTGGCCTGCTTTATTGGTTTCAAGATGAGGTATCAGCACAGTACCACTGAGTTTTTTTTAAACTCACATCACAATAATGTCTGTGTTAATTACATGAGAGCGTCCCAAGTGCGCGGATAAGCTGGGAACAAGGGGACACAAAGACTCAAGGTCAGTGATGAATATCCACAGCAGCTGCACGGCATTAATAAGGCATTATATGAAAATAATAATAATAGCATCACTTACAACAAAATGTGGTTAGAGTGTGGTTAGAGTAATGTCAGGAGCGCCGGGGTGTTTTACAGATATTTCCTCACCACCATCTCAGCTTGGATCCAGCCTTTCTGATAATGGTGCGAGGCAATGGTTATTCATGATTGCTGGACTGGGAAGGTCCCTCTCTTTTTCTACCCCCAGTCGCAGCCCATTCTCTCCTCTGTGGTGGGAATGCTAGCAGATGGGGTTAGGGGGGAATGGGCTGGGCTCAAGGACAGCTAGCAGCCAGATTAACACATAGAAAATCTCATAGACCCTCAGCATCAGGCTGCCTCCTTTCCCCCTGAGAAATCTGCCCTAGACGCAGAGAAACACTCCTCTGAGAAGCATTATTTGTATTGGACTTGAGGAGGGGTGGGGGGTGCATAAATATGATTCAGCAGATGACGAACCAGCTCAAATAGTAGTGAGTCTTTTTTCATATGCTAATGAAACTGAGTGAATAACCCTCCCTCGCTCCCCCCACCTCCTCTTTTTTCCCCCAGTTTTGTTTTTCCGGGGAAGCGCTCTGTGAGCTATAATTAAGAAGATGTTTTTTTTTTTCAAAGCTAACAGAAATAAATAATTCCATAATAAGATCTGTGAAGTGAAGAGGCTTAATGTACTCATTGTGTTCATCCTTGTTTTCCCTCTTGGATGTTTTGTATTAATTAGAAGCAAGCAATTTGATCTCTGTCAAGCAATCAATTTGCATCGTGTTTCTTATTCCATGTGAGGTATTAATGTGCTCTTTCCACCTTTTTTCCTGACTGCATGTTCACATCCATGTCTCCAGATTAGGAAAATTCAACGATAGAAACCCCCAAAAAGACAAACCAATGATTTCAAGATACACTAAAAAAAAAAAGTTGCAGATTTTTAAACACATGTATCTGGTGTTTTTTTGTCTGTTATAGATAATGAATTACACGATCACCTCCTGAGAGATAACAAGTGTGAAAGCATTAACCGGGGTGGACAGTGCGGATCCGGCATCTTTTCCTACAGAGCGCTCGGAAAACTACAATCAAAGGTAAACAATCGGACACAGACGGAGCTTAAACGCTGCACACAAAGTGAGAATGACTTCTGTTAGGGACACAAAGTCTCTAAATGGTTGTGTAACAGTGTTTTGGATAAGTAGCAGGCTAAGTGGTGGAGTGTCACTGCACCTTTGACCACAGTGATCACAAACTGAGCTTGTTTTTTTTTTTTTTTTTTTTTTACTTATGCAGAGCTGTGGGTGGCAGCCACATAATATACTCTTTTAGAAGGCATTGCTGAGTCTGCATTTTCTAACATGTTGGTTGATACTCAGGTCGTCTCGGCTGGATCTGTAGCTCATGGAACTTTCTTTGAAATCATAATAAAGAGTTTGGAGAGATTTGCTACGAGGTTTTGAGGTTTAGACTGTAGCTTTGTTTTAACTAACCCACTACAATCATTTTAAAATACATCAAACACACAGTAAAATAGAATATACGAGAGACATGTACCCTTCAATATTCACGAAACTAAACACATCGTACACCATAAACTGATGCAGAAAGACACAAATATGTAAATAAAAAGTGTTTGATGCGCAATTTTTTTTGGCGGAGGACCCCAACATCCACCATTTCACATGTGCCCCCTCCAGAGTTGAAACCTACGCCTTTGAGATACAAGATCTTGTGTTTTGGAGGCAGTGATGTAGAGTGAAAATGTTCTGTACTGCTATCAACCCATTAACAACAGCCCCAGTTGTGTCTTTACAACATTTTACAAGAGTTGTTGGCAACTACGCAGAATTTAATGCCAGAGAAGACGTACAGAAATCACAGGAAATCTAGATGGGGATACGCATTGTTTGAACACTTACATAATTTTAGGTGAGATAATTACTTAAAGAAAAGAAAAAGAAAAAAGTATTGTTGTATGTATGTTGAATGTATTTTTAATTTCCACTAGCAACACTGTACTATGACTTCCCTATTTAGCATACATACATATTTGATATATTACATTATCATGTAGCTGTATGCAGACAGAAGTAAGTTTTAAGTGTTTATTAAGGTGTGTGGTATAACTTCTATAAATTATTATTACACCTGAATATTGTCACTATTATCTGTTGGTCGACCAGTTTCCACTTCTGGATGTCCACAGAAGGAGCTGTATTTGTTGACCAAGGCATTAACACACACTTTTCCCACTGTTCCCTTTCATATATCCAGGATCTAAACACTTTATTTCATAACACCACACTCTGTATAGAAAAAGAATGATACATTGACCAAAAGAACTGCCGCACAATAATAATGAAAAGGTAAATTATATAAAGCCCTCGGCCAGATTGTGTAGGGAATGTCAAATAAAAGCTCTCGTTTGACCCTGAATGCATCTATTTGTTCTGCTTTTGTAAACACTCTGCGTCACATGTTTGTCCATGTTGTTGCCATGCCAGGACTACCTGTTAGTACACCAGAGCATCTACGGAGGCCTTCCTTGTTCTCTTGTTACTTGTCACTTCCTGTTATGTGAATTAGAAATACAGTAGCCTCTGCTTTGTCCGAATCTGCTTGTAGCTTTTGTCATAATTATGTCAGAAAGGCACAAGTGACGCACTTTAAAGGCAGCGTGAACAAAGGAAAGGTCGCAGTCTGCTCGTCAGTCTTATATAATATGTGAAACTGGATATGCAGCTCGCGGTGAAATAATATGCTGAGGTATAGTCGGACGTATAGCGCAACATAATTGTGTTTCATTGGTTGGACAGGCACCATAAACCACTCATTATTTGGTGTTTTTTTTATGACATTATTCTTAATGAATTCAGAGAAATAAAAAGACACATAAAAGAAAAACAATCTGTGTTGTAAATGTAACAAGTTTAATGATAAAATACTGTTTTTAAAACATTTGCATGAGAAGGGCACTTCTAAAATGTCAAATAAAAAAACCACCGTGGTAATAAACACGTGTGAGTCAGTGGTGATATTTCGGTACACTGATAACATCATTTGAACTTTGATTAATGTCCGTGTTACAATCTCAGGTTGCAGCATGTAAGAGCAGCATTTTGCCTCCAAAACAACAGATTTACACAAAATGTTGAAGCATGTCTGTGTGGAAAAGTGTTACAAACTAATGAGGTACATTCGTTTTTACAGAATGTAATCTATAGTGTTTGGGAGTTGTTTGTCTCAATAGGCTGTAGTAATCAAAAGTAATGAACCTATTATGAGCAGGACCTCTGAGGGCCCGGCGTGGCATTAAGAGTGTGGCACATAAAAGGTTTATTAAAGGAAATTAAGGTCCATCACTGCCACACCTGCTCCCCTATTATAAATGTATGACAGGTCAGTGCCTTCAATCACAACAGCAAACGAGAGAGAGGAGTCATGTTTCCCATTACCAGGGAAAAGTAACAGCATATCCTATGACTCACAGATTTCACTGGCCTGTGACCACTATACGCCACCATCAGCCTGGAATAATTATGTTTAATAGGTTTTATTTGGGACCCACAAGCAACAGCCAGCGAGAGTGGATGGATTTTAGCAACTATTTTTGTCTAAACACACACAGCGAGGTGCTGTCCGTACTTTAATGTCATTATTTAGTGTCATTACATTTTTACTCACCTTTGAAACTTTCCCCCCCCCCGAACATTATACTTTATGTGTTTGCATATTACTGATGTTTTAGGAGCTCTTTGTGATGTTGCACGCAAATTGATTTTAAGGCTCTCTGGCTGACAAAAAAAATCTCCAATGATCTACGAAGCCTTTTCCCATTTCTAATAAAAACAATAAATACATTTAAATCTGTGCGTTCAGCGGCTCATGTGTACATTGCGTGTTGTGTTTGCAGATGGATTCTGAAGGTGAGGAGCAAACCCTGAAAACATGTAACAGTAGCACAGGTGAGTGCAGCTCTCAGTTCTAGTTTGCTTTTAACTAAACACACATGCATGCACGCTCACACACACATACTCCACTTATCGCCATGGGTTAGGGGTATCAGTTCAACAATCCAACTTTATAACTGTCAATTTTATGTATTATCTTACCGGTCTGAAGAGCACTGCACTGCCATTTCATTATTCAGAGGGGAATAACTTCATTAAATTGTGAACACTGGCTCAAATTAGTTAAGGAGTGTGTATATATTGTGTGATTGAAAACCTCTAGACTGGATATGTCATTATGCAAGTGTTCAGGGCCTCTGAGGCCCGCCTGCTCACGCTGGAGCTATTACTACATCTGGGGAAATTCATGAAAAGTGTTATTATTGGTTGTGCTTCATGGGAGTAGGGGTAGAACTTGTGAATGAGATTTACGGCGGGCCCCTGGGAAAATTGATTTACCCTTTTAGATCATGTTGTCAACGTTGTCAAAGGATGAGCTACCGATGGTCTCCCGGAGAATGAGCAGACTGAATGAAAAGCTTTTCAGATCAATGACGAGACCACTTCTCCATCCTTGTGCTGATTATACCCCATGGCATTATAAAACAGAATAAAATCTATGGCTAAAGGCTGCGTAACGCAATATTAGCCCAGGTGGTATCATCCCTAAATCATTATCCAAAAAACAAATATTTGCAGAACATTGTAAAATATTTCATTAGCAATAGCCCAAAAGTCGTGAGTCGGCTTGAACCTTTGATGGAGAATATGTCGACAGATGCTGTGCTACTGTAGTGGAAATGTAAACACCACGTTTTATCTGTTCTTTTTTGGCCTTTATTCCACAGGGCTGGCCAACTGCATCACCGAGACTCACAGGTGAAATTTTATGATGTGAATTTACTAATTTACTAAAAAAAAACAAAAAAAAAGGAAACATTTCAGATTATTGATGTTATTCATTAGAGGGGTTTTAACTCCATAAAAGAAAACCTCCAATTTTAATAGTTGCACCCTTGAAATGAGCCAACTGAGGCCTCTGTTGACCCTGCTGTGCCTTTTGTCCGTTCCCCTCTTCCCTCCAGCCCATATGGGTCCATGGCGAGGAAGAGGAGTGCTCAGGAAGGGGTGCAGGGCGCCCCCGTCAACAAGAGAAAGTCCCTGCTGATGAAGCCCCGCCACTACAGCCCCAGCGAGGCATGTGAAGAGGAGAGCGAGGACCTGGCACCGCCACAGGACAAAGAAGAGCTGAGGAACATTGACACTCCAGCAGGTAAACAGATGTCCTGTTGTTTTGTCTGTTTTGATGAACAATTGACGCTGAATTTTAAAATCCCATCTGTTGCATTCATATTTCCCTCCCTCTGCCATCAGCCAGCAGCCTCAGTCATTGTGCAGTGGAAGTGAAAGACTACACTGCTGGGTCCACATTAGTTGTGTCTCACGTCCACAAATTGAAGTTTTGACAGCTGATCTGCCATGATATTTTTGGCGTGGCTTTACCCTCTTTTGATGAGGCCAGATTTCAGACCCCTCATCTGTCCTTTTTCAATAGCCAGTCCAAAACCCATTGAATCCATAGAATGAAACACTGAATGGGGGAGTGCACCAGTTCACTTTGATTTAAATTAAACTTCCTCCATTCTTTTGAACTGAATTAATATTGAAGTCGCCTATTTTGAGAGACAAATGAGGCGTCAACACTGCCTGGCGTATGTTCTGATGTTTCACTGTTTTTATTTTCTACCAAACCATAAAAACATTTTCATCAACAACAGTTAAAAATTGTTTACTTTCACTTATGCCACTGTCCTTTTCAGGAGCAAAAATGTTTTCTTTTTTTCCTAATGAATTGAATTTTGTGCATTTTGGCAACAATGCTCGTGGTGTACATGTGCATTCTCGCCCACTATAATCTGCACTGATTTGGTATATTTTTAACGATGTAACTAAGCAACAAACGTAATTGTCCCTTTCAAAAGCTTTTGTTAGGCCCTCTAACACAGTCTAATACATAATTAGGCATAATGTCTACAGCTCATTATAGTACACATGTGTGTAGTTAAATGGACCAGGAGAGTAGCTCACTGAATTGTGTGGATTCATTGGAAATGGAATTTATTTGTTTCCTGTGTTCATATTACATTACAATTATCTAAGTAATTCACTGTGCATCGTCAGTTTTTCCTTTTGTTGTTGTGTATTCCTTTTCTTTTTATCATCCAGTGTTGATTGACTGCCGTATATTTTCCTTAGTTGAACCTGATATTCAGTGGACGAGCTTTAAAACAAAACAAAATGCTGCCAGAATGAATAAAAAAAAAAAGTCTGAAGAGTGTCAAATGAACATGGATATTGATAAACAATTTCAGAACATATTTTGCTGTTATTGTCAGATTCGGGGGCTATTTTCTGTGGGAAAAAAAACAAAAATTGGAAAAGTGGACTGGAGGCAGTAAGAATTTTTTGCTGTGGGAAGCTGGTCATATCTGCATTTTAACAAAAAGGGAGAAAAATAAGCCTCTCGTTTGGTCGAGCCACACTGCGTTCAACTCCAGCCAACTGCAGCCCTGCTGCAGAGTGCTGGTAATGGCTATTCTGGAGTACAAACTGTTCACCTGTTCCAACACACAAACCACCGGAGGGATCCAAGTTTTTTTCCTCCATCTCTTTCCTTTTTTCACTGCACTTCTGTGTCCCTGTGTTTGTATGTGTGTGTGAGTGTGTATACGTCTTTGTGCTTGTCTGACTGTATGCGGCTGTGTCAGGCCGTGGAGTCCATCTGGATGAAAAACAAAACCCTTGTTGCTCGCCTCATAAATGTAAATACGTGTAACTGGCTTTAATTTCTCATTCAACAGGGTTTGTCTTTAGACACCTCTTTTATATTTCACAGCAGGGAACTGATAGTGAAACACTGTAATGTTGCAAAAACGCGAACCAGACATGTCGAATCCCACTGCACTTGAACAAATTCACATATTCACAAAAAACAGTCTCTTTATTAGCGCCACATGTTTTATGTTAAAGCTCTTTTGGTGAGGATTAAGTTTTTGTGCCGCTCCCATTAATAGTAATGCCTGTATCTGTATCATCCTCAACACTGTGTGATCTGATTCTCACAATCCATCTCTATCTATCTGTCTTCTATCAAATATCTGATGTCTGGCCACTTAAGAGGATCTGGGCCCACAGTCCAGCCTACTCAAAGTAAAAACCCTCGCAGCCCAAAGAGCCTTAATCGAGCATAAGTTTGAATGGTTTTGGAGGATCAAGAGAGATTTTGTTGAATCAATCCAGATGATAGCTTTCCATTGTCCATGACTTAATATAATCAGTGGTGTTAATAAAGTGTTGTTTCAGATGCACTTAGGATAACCCTCTTTGTCCGTTCCACTGATCAGACTCTCACTGCGTTTAAGGCTTCCCACAATCTTGTGGCTTTCTGTGCATGTGACCCGGACTCCTGGAGTTATGCTAAAAGATAGACGCCAAAAGGTCACTGCAAATTAAATTATAGAGAGCACTTGGCAAAATAAGCGAGAGAAAAGGCATAGCATGAAATGAGTGAAATGCATGTTATTAATTGACAATAATGATGCTACATGTGTCGTGTACATGTATGTATGATATCTTATTACATCTGTGAGGATTTTAAAAATCAAAAGCTGGGAATTAAAAGAGTCATCTTCCTAAATAAATCCATGACAGTATTAGAGAAGCTCTTCTAACTTTGATGAGCCATTAAAATCCATGATCAAAACAATCCTTTCCTGCAGCATCTTGCATTGTAAAAGTCTATTACGAGTTATATACTATATGTTTACACTAAGCAAGACTAGTTACTGTTTAAAAACACAGAGCTTATAATAGAAAGAAAACTGTTTGAAACATTACAAAGCACTGTTTTATGCACACAAGTTAAATTAATTCTTAATACCTTGACATTTCATTTTTATTTAATCTCTAAGCTGTTTTTCAATCACTGTTTTTTCATAACCATTTTTTTAAAGAAACTGCAGGTGAACTAAAGATACAAGCTCTTATCAAATTTAATCCAAACACTTGTATTTTTCAGTAATTTTTTTGGTTCATGTTCACTGAACAAGCCATTCATTTCTGTGGGCACTGTTAGCTGTTGTGCTTTTATCACTTTTTTGTAACCAAAAATTGTCAGTTTTTTGACTGAGGTGTATGGTTGGCTTCTCCTAAACCATGTCCTGCCACACAGACAGCAGCAGCTAACAGAGATTTCTCTCTTTTATCTGCATGTTTGTGGTTTCCTCCATCTGTGTTTTCAGGAATCCTCTTCACTTTTCCTCGTTCACATCTCAATTATGTGTTTTTAAATCAGTTTTTGTGTGTGTGTGTGTGTGTGTGTGTGTGTGTGTGTGTGTGTGCAGATGACAACATGCTGCTGCTTAGTTTGCACTTAAAAATACACATAATTAATTAATGATGTTCACTGTCCACCGCACAGTAAATCCCTCCGTAATCTTGTCCTAAATCTTTGTTGGGTTGTTGCTCCAATTGGAGACAGAGAGGAAGAAGAAAACAATTTTGTTTCTCATTTCCAGGTTTCATGTTCAACTAGCAGACAGCAGGGTCGTGTATATGTTGTCTAAAACATACTTGAGGAATTGCTTGGAAATCTTGCAACCTTATGATTATTATTTCTATTGCAGCATGTGTTCTTCTAAATCCTCTAAAAAACATGTTTTTCTCAAGATATTATTTGTAGAAAAGTAACACAAAATCCAAAACCTTTAAAAGGATTTGGAGAAGATTATCGAGGACATAACAATTCTTATCCTGCATGTGACCGAGGGGTCATAAAAGAACATGTTTGGTCTGTTAAGTCTTGAAAACACATAAAATAATAAGTGTTTTCTTGTTGTTTTAGATGGAAACTTAAGTGCAATCAATGGAGTTACCTACAAAAATGGCTGCCACGACGCGGCAGCAAAGTCCAGTGATTCTCTCGGATGGTCAGAAGTGACATCCGATGGCTCTCCGCAGTGTGAGCCGGACACATCTGAACCTCTCATGGATGAAGATGAAGAGGAGCTCCTTAACAATGAAAGAGAAGACCAAAGTCAGGACAGGATGAGTGGTACGTCATCGCCACAGAGTCCATATGAAAACATGAGGGAGGCCGAGTGGGAGCCTCTGTCTCTGTCCGCCAAGGTGAACGGCTCCAACTGCAGCCCCTCCGGAGCCTCCGAAGACCTTTCAGGCAGGAACGGCATTGTGAAAGAGGAGCCTCAGTCAGAGTTAGGTGGTCCGATGGGTAGGGTGAGTATTTTTCAAGCTGAGGCTCTGAGATACAGGCCGCTCCCCACAGAGGAGGACAGTGAAGGGGAAGCAGAGGCGGAGAGGCCACCTCAGCTGGACGGCTGGGCTCTGGGCCTCCACGAAAGAGGCCTGGACATGGGCCGAGGGAGGGTGAACTTCAGCCTGTTGGAGCAGGCCATAGCTCTGCAGACAGAGCAAAGACAGGTCCTGCACCATGCCTACAGGGAGATGGACCGGTTCCTCATGGAGCAGATGACCAACGACAGGAGGCACCATAGGATGATGGAGATGGACAGTAGACTAAACTATCACGGAGGAAAAGGTAACAAAATGGCGGGAAAAGACCTGTGATGTAAAATTATTTAAAGACTAGAGGAAGTGAAAACATCAATAAATATCGTCCAATCTAGTCTTGCTCCCAACTTGTCAAATACTGACGCTGGTCAGTGACCCTCAGCTTCAGATACCAACGCACAGAGGCAATCTTTTAGCGCCTGTATGAGATGCATGGGGCAGCAGCATTTTTTGACGCTCTCAGCAACTGCCATAGTACAAAAAGCGAGACAGTCGGCATAGGATGGAAGGAAGGGAAGGTGGACTCCGGACCAAAAGCCAATTGACTTATTTTAAGTACAGCTTGTGTACTAGTATATACTTATTGTCAAACCATGCTGTTTTTTTCCTAAACCTAACTACGTGCTTTTAATGCTTAACCCAAGGAAGTAAATTTAAAACCACAGTTATGTACCTACGTTCTAAATTTATTTTCAAAAGACACTGTATGCATTTAATAAGTAAAAACTGCATTTCCTGTGAAAATGGGAGTTTATTTTGAAAAGACACAATGCATGTATGGAGTGTAAATTGACACGCCAATCCTGAACGACCAACACCAACACTGGAGGTGTGTCTAGAGTGTCATAGTTTGACTTTTAGGGCCACTGATCAAGCGCCCTCATTTGACGAGAATGTGTTGTATTGTCATCTTTAAGATGCGCTTTTATGCGGGAACATTTTTGGCACGTCTGTGTCACTATTTCCGTCCAAGCACACCTCCGTCTTAAACGCTTAAACAATGCTTGCGGCATATCGCCAGACAGACAATGGCAAGCAGCCAAGAAAAAGACAATGAGGATACTTACTGATGTCGTCTCATATCAATCGCAGGTTCCTGAACTGCATGAAAATCATATCGTCGCACACTTTATGATATCACTAAATATCACATTGCTGTCCAAAGCATCACCATAATATCGTATCGTGATGAAACTTGTGATGTACACCCCCAGTAAAGACAAGCAGTCTTAAGAATCAAAAGTGATCTTTTTTGGGAACGATCACTTTTCACGTATGTACCTTCATCCAGCACAAATCAGATAGACCACTTGTGATTTGGATGATTGGGCGCTTTGAAAAACATTAAAAGGAATAAAAGAAGCATACGCACGGGAGGGGGGAAATCAGAGGGAGGAAATCCTCTTAAGTATTAAAAACATTTTGGCAACAAGTGAAGTAATAAATAAACAGACTAAAATAAAGAAGAACAAAATTTTCTGATGGAATTGCTACTACTCAGAATATTGGATTTTGATAGGAATCAACTGGATATTTAACCATGACCATAAGTCTTAAATCCTCCTAAAGTACCTCTCATGTTTCCCTCTGATTCTTCAAATGACTGCAGCTAAATGTGTAATCCTAGATGTAATCTTTCGATGGATGGGCATTAAGAAGTGAATGTTGAACTGCAGCCTTAACTAAAATGACAGATTAAAAGATGCATTTTGTGAAAAAAAAGTATTTAGCTTTGCATGATATTTCAATCTGTTGACCTATGTACAATATATTCTCACGAAAGTGCATTATGTGTGTTTCACTTCTCCATTTCTTGACAGAGCACAAAGACAGAAAGGCTTCAGTACGTTAGGGGAGTGGTTGTATTATTTTGATTTATTGTGATATCTTGTTTTACTGTGTCCGCAGATTCTCCACGCACAGATAAAAAGGACATAAAGTGTCCAACTCCTGGCTGCGATGGCACTGGTCATGTGACCGGCCTGTACCCACATCACAGGAGTTTGTCTGGGTGTCCTCATAAAGTCCGAGTTCCTCCAGAGAGTAAGTCACACAGGCAGTTCTGTGTATACATGCTGTATAATGGATGATTTATACTTACTATACTTACTTATACTATACTATATTTATACTACTTACCATTTGTAGGATTTATAATCAGTCGGCGTAATTGAAATCCTCTTAAACCCAAAGACAAGAAAGACCTGCTTATACATTTAGTTCAATTCAAAGATGTGCATGAAACTTTTCAAATAAATTTAAAGGATTTTTTTTTTCTCTCTCTCTCTCTCTTTCTCTTAATGTGCTGTAATGTGTGAATATTGAATTCTTCTCTCCCCCCCCCCCCCCCACATTGGCGATTGTTAAGTCATTTCAATATAACTCAACAAACATTCGACATTAAACAGTAATGTTACAAAAGGAACAGAAAAAGTAATTAACTTTTTCAAAAAAGCGCGTGCTCTTAGACTGGAGGCAGTATTTGCAAATCAAAGGGCTAGCTAACGCAGCATTCAAAAATAAATAGACAACTCCAACAAACTAATTGGAGAATATGTACAGAAAAGAAGTTTCTAAGGATACAGAGCGGACCTTTAACGACGCGTTTGTTTTGAAGAATATAATCAGCTGTCTTGTTACGCTCCTCTTTGCACTAAGCTATTTACATTTCAGGCACATTACAGCATTCCTCACAATGAGAGAGCCTTTTGCTTCTTTTTCTCCAGCGTCTGTCTCTGTAGGATCTTTGCTCTATAGGCACTAATGTACCAGCCAGTTACATAAATCCCCATTTAATGTATTTTTTTATTTCCAGAAGGCTCAGTAGATATATATATATATATATGTATTTAGCATCTTATAATCTTTCAGCTTGATTATGTCTTAAATTATTTTGGACTCTGTCTGAGCTTATCTCCTCTCTGTGTCCTCGTCCCCTCAGTCCTGGCCATGCATGAGAACGTCCTCAAGTGCCCTACACCCGGATGCACAGGAAGAGGCCATGTCAACAGCAACCGTAGCACCCACCGGAGGTACGACCACAGCAAAAAGCCATTAGAAATCTGCACCCTGTTCATAGATGGGTTACAGTATTAGACTAATGTATTTGTTTTCCTCCCCTTCCAGCCTCTCAGGCTGCCCCATCGCTGCTGCAGTGAAAGTCTCCAAACCTCAGGACGAGAGCCTGAAATGCAGACAAACACCTGACCGCTCACCGAGGTACAGCACACTGCCAGATAATGCTGTGGATTTTCACTGCTATCAATGTGGTCACATGTGCAGGACAATAATTACAACAAGCACCCAGAAATCATAATCAGCTCTGGAGTGGACTGAAGTTGTAAAAGCGTAACTGAGGTTATGCAAAAAAGTGATAAACACTATTATTGTTGAGGGGGGTGTGGGATATTTTTATTCACTGATCCCAGCAGAACGCACAGTCTATTTCGAGCTTTCCAAGCAGACATAAGCAATGGTTGCTAGTCCTGTGAGTTCCTCTCTATTAGAGATGATAAAAGAGCAGAACTCTTTGTTCCCTGTGGATATATCATGGGCAGGATGCCCACTCCTACTATATTAATTAGTCTGGCAACCTGGCTGTGGATCTACAACACACATCAGATCCCAGACTCTATGTGTACAAAAGCACTGGCATCCCTGAATGGTTCAAAACAACGTCTATACTTAACCGCTTAATATGAGCTTGTTGGGCACTTGTTATTTCACGAGGTTTGCACAATAAAATGAAGCCTTTTTTCCCAATTTGTTCTCCTTGCAGAGCCATCGGCTTGATAAAGAAGTTCGAGATGAACCAGCTGAACTACAGGCTCTCTCATCCAGTAGCAGCCTTGCAAACGAGCCTCACAAAAGACATGGACAAGTACAGCAGAATCCGCTTTGATTACGCCAGCTTTGATGCACAGGTCTTCGGCAAACAGCCTCTGATGGGGACCAACCAGGACCAGGAAATGTCACATTTCCCCGATTGTAAGTTTCGTTCATTTTACAAATACGTTTTTTGTGTGTTAACATGGTATTAAAGGTGAATACATTTTTTTGTGTCACGTTTTAGGTGTAGAGCCTTTGTTTTGGCCACAAATAAATATTATTCCACAAATCTACATGCAAACATTTTAACATTTTTAGGACTGCATCAATCTTTTTGTGTCAGTGCCTGTTATTAAACCGACAAATATCAACCTCCACCTTGCTTTCTATGTTCTATCAAGTTTGGATAGTAACACCTGGTGTCTCAGTAACTATATTATCCGCTAATTATTTGTCTTTTAGCACCTCAGCAGTATCCTGGCTTCCTTGGTGCTCCAGGTGGCCGCTTGCCCACCTCTGGTCAACACAGCCCGCCGAGTCAATTCAGAAAAGAAGACGGTCTCCAAGCGGCAGCAGCGACAGCCGCCATCCTTAACCTCTCCACTCGCTACCGGAAGAACATGGAGGCTGTCGCCGGCCGGCCCTTGGCAACCTCCACAAAGGTAATCAAATTAGACCACTTGGAAAGGTATTTAATGTGGTCATTTTAAAGGAACTCTGATTTGTGTATAAAAAGGGAAGACATCAAAAGACAGAATTTGGCAAAGGGAGCTTGGCGCTCTGGTGGCAGAAAAACAAGGAGGTTTCCTCTCCATAAAGCTTTAATGTACACAAATGAAAATTTGTGTAATCACATCAAAAGAAGAAATACAATCAGCCTTCTTTCCCAATTACAACTACTCGTCTATTTTTTTAATAAAACATGTGGTACTGTATTTTGTTTCGACATCAGCTGGCATGTAAAAACCCTGAACTGTTGTCTGAAACTGCATCTTGCCCGCTGCAGATGGCAGAGGATATTTTGCTTAGTTATATGATCCAGGATAGGCTGTGTGTCTACACCAGACAGCATTTAAAAGCATTTCAATGGATTAAGCCAATCAGCTAAAGGAGTTAACATCTGAAAAGTTTAATTCACACAAAATCCAAACTTCTTGGAAATGTGCGCAGATCCAAAATCTCTTCTGCTGTCGTTTTATCTCCAACGTGCCATTGTGTTCGGCTTTTTCCAAACTTCATGATTAATATTGATCACATTCTGTGGGTTACATACGTGCACACTGTACTGTAGATGATTCAAGGTTTCCACACCTACACAGCACAGATCCTTGTCTCCCAGCTTGTTGAGCTGAGAATGTGGCCCCGTACCAGGTACCAGCCCACTGAATGAATAAAACAGTGTTAGCAAGTTAATCATCTGTTCTCATTTACAGCTTAGTTGTCTTGGAGAGACGTACAAAATAAAGAACAGCTTTCAAGTCTGAAAAAAAGGGGCCATATTTAGAGTGTTATATGTCGTCGGATGCTTTAACTTATCTGCATATGTATATTATGTGTCGAGATATCGCACACAAAAAGCACCACATAGCTGGCCTTTGAAGTGTGAATACAAGCCGATTCTACTTATTTAAAAATGTGAGACACTTAAATGACATCATTGGGAAAAAGCAGAAAAATAAATATATAAATCCTGACTTTTACTTTTTAGTTGCAGCTAAAAACAACATTAAAATCTGAATAAAATCATGAAAGTCTTGCTCATGCTTTACACTGGTGTTATTTTGAATAGGTGCACACGTCGACGAATGGCTGGATAATTTAAGTGGACAGCCACGTCCGATGCTCATGTAAATTATCCCCTTTAATTAATTTTAAAAGCTCCCTTTTGTTTTTAAAAAAAATAATGATGTATAGGGTTTAATGAAACATATGCGTTGAATAATTGGTTTCGTTTATGGAAAAAGGATTTCAGCATTTAATGAGGTAAAACTTTTAATACCATAAAACAGCCATAAGTCATCATGCTATTGCGTTTCAGCACAAAAACGACAAACACATCTGTCAGCGGGGAAACTTATGCCACATTAAGCTTTTTAATTTTTGCTATAATAATGATGACCTAAAACCAGCAACCCCCCCCTCCCCCCCCAGCTGCCATCATAGTTGTGTGTCCTAGAAAACAGATGACACAGCTGTCACTGAAAAACCACACACCAGTGATTATTTTTTTGTGTTCAGCAGAATTAACGCTGGCTTAGTTTGGTACTTTGTCTGGTGTGAGATAACCACTGTATGTATTATTTAAATATGTTTGTTTGCTCTGCGTTTCAAGTCATTTTTTTCATGTTTACAGAGAAATGTTGTTGGGTTCAAGTTTACCATATCGCTGCTGTCATATTAATAAGACATCGTACTGTTTTATTTACACTGTAATTAGAAAATAAGGTCTATTTATATCCCCTGATTCATTTATTTTCATATGTTAGCATGCCCTGCACTGATACGTGAGGCATACTTTGTTTATTGTACCCATCGACGACATGCTGTAATGTCTGAATCCATTAAATGTTGCCTCTAGGACATGCTCATAGAGGTGGATGAAAATGGCACCTTGGACTTGAGTATGAAGAAGTGCAAGGAAAATGTAAAAGCCCCGACAAAGACACCTTTGGACGACCCGCTGTCCCCTTCTGAGTCCAGCGCGGCCAAAGGCGGGAGCGTGCTCATCAGCCCCGCCTTCTACCAGCCGCTGTGTGAGAGAGACAGCTGGGAGAGCCCCGTCCCTGTCAACTTCAGCAAAGCACACGCTTTACAGGACGCAGAGGTAAAAAAACAAACAAAAAAAAACACACAACAACTGACACTTTGGTTGTAATCTAAAAATGTAAGATATGCATTAAGTGCAGACACAGCAGTGAGACTGAGCAGCACAGTAACAGACTGACAGTTAAAAACTAAAGATGGAGATTATTATAGTTTCCCTGGTAAGCTGGAGTTTATAAACACTGAGCCTACAACTGATTTCTCATTTTCTATTTATTCAGTTGAGCTGTGCAAATACATCTTCTCCAAGTATCCTCTAAAACAAACGTTCATTCATGCATTGATTCATTATCCGTAACTGCTTATCCTATTCAGGGTCGCGGGGTGGCTGGAGCCTATCCCAGCTGACAATGGGTGAGAGGCTGGGTACACCCTGTACAGGTTGCCAGACTATCACAGGGCTGACACAAAGAGACAGACAACCATTCACGCTCACATTCACACCTACGTGCAATTTAGAGTCACCAATTAACCTAACCTGCATGTCTCTGGACTGTGGGAGGAAGCCGAGGGACCCTAAGAAAACCCACGCTGACACGGGGGAGAACATGCGCACTCGACACAGAAGGGCCCTGGCCAGAAACTACTTATTAAAATAACTATTTTAGAGCTCTCTCTCTCTATTGTCCCTATCATTGTTACCACATTAGGATTTTATTTGAATTTATAAGCACAACAACTCAAAGGAGCAACATAGCACAAAACACTTGAAAGCATTATTAAAAGCACTGAATTCAAAAGTGGCCCTATATGAATATAACAACCATAATATATGGAAACATACACATCGACGGAAACAAACAAGTTTCAAATAAACCTGCTACTCCGCCCTGCATCTCCACGTCCATTCCTCCCTCAAAAGCAAACTGACAAACTCACAAAGCCGCCTTAACTTTTGTTTTTAAAACGGCCTTTGTTTAATATGAAGATTACATACCTGTTTTACTGTGCATTACTGTTGACAAGGACAAAGGTTTTATGTCAGTACTGGGGGGACATATATGAAACGGGGATCTGGGGATCCTCCGCCAGTAAATTTTGAGAATCAGACATTTAATTTTCCTGTATTTTGGTGAATTTTCCACACCGTTTCTGCATCAATTTATGGTGTAAATGTCTTTAATTTGGTCAAAATAGATAAATAAATAAATGGTCTTTCAAGTTTTCAGGGAGGGGACAAATAAACATGTTTCTAAATATTGAGAGGGCCATGTCCCTTGCGTCCCCCCCACACCACCACCAAAGAAAATCTACAGCTTTGACTTACTTTTACCATTTCATTTCCAAACATGAATGTCTTCATGCTGTTTCAAAGCTTAAATACTTAGTTCTCTATTTATTTCTTTACTTTATTGCCCAAAAAGTTGTCAACTTTTGTCCAGAAACAGTCCAAGTGGTCAAATTCAGTCCCAGAATTACTTCAAGTAAAAAAATGTAGTCTAAAAAAATGGCTAGTGTAAAATATTAAATCACCTTATGTTGCCAAAATCCCCTAATTTTAAATTTTGTGACATTTTCCAAGTAGGGCTGGACGATATGGAGAAAATCAAATATCATGATAATTTTTGACGAAATACCTTGATGCCAATATTGCAATGATACTGTAGGGTTATTGGTGCTTTCACAAAATATCTGCATAATAAGAACACAACCATTATTTTGTAGATATAATAACCAGTCTCATAAGTTCAGAAAATGACATCACCTTACTGTAACGCAGCCTTTAACACCAGAAGACAAATGAATGATGCACGATATCCAAATCTACGACTATATCCAGGCTCAATATCAATATATTGTGCAACTAAATTTCCAAGGCACAGCAGCTTCTCCAGTCAGATCTTTAAATCTATAAATCATATTAATATCACACTGAGTTCTGGTCTCTATGTGTCATTCAAGTACCTGGATGGATCTTTCCTTTATTACACATGTGGCATTCATTTGTAGTTGAGGGGTAACCACATTTGACCTGCTTTTAGAAACCATACACAACATCTGGTGACTGCACAATCTTGTTTGTATAAAAAAAAAAGGAGATCCATACGTCATGGCTTTACCTCATAAATACTACGTGGATTAAGTATGACTTTAAATGGATGTATGGTTTACTGCAGTATAAGTATCCTTAAGCATAATCGCACTTTAACCCCTCAGGGCTTGTGTTTTAAGAGTATTATATAGTGCTTTTCATTAATTATTCACTTTTAGGTCATAGCAGCTCAGGTCAGGTTTGATGTTTCGGACAGTAAAAGCCACGTTTTCACTTTTTTTTGTCTTCGCCAGGAGGATTACGATCATGCCTCCTTGGAGGACCAACACTACCAAGGAGACGGCAGCATGATGAGCCCCAAAGCCAAGCTGCTATTACGAGACGCAAAGAAAGAGCTTCTGAGGTGCGTTATGTTAAAGAATGAGGCGACTGTGTGTGATGTGAGCATCGCTGTTAGCTGGCAGATGGTCAGTATTAACGACAAAGCATACCTTTGTTTGAACAGGACGGTTTGATGTAAGTGAGTCAAAACTAGGGATGGGACGATATACGGTTTTATCGCGTATCGCAATAAAAAACACAGTAAGCTGACTGTGTATCAAAAAAATCATTTTGTGATTATTTGACTGACGTGACTGCAGTATGAGTCAAAGTTTTAATGCAATGGAACTTTTGCATTTCATTTTCACTAAAAAAAAAGGTGATGTGATTTTTGCTGGGGTCTGAACCAAGCATGTTCCCTTACATTTAGATTATGACTTGTAGGCCGGAGCATCTCTGTAGCACCACAATGCTTCATTTTACCTTTATATAAAAAAACTGTAGCTATTATTGCGATTTCGATAATGTCTCGATTTATTGTGCAGCCCTTTTGAGATAATCGTAAATATCATGTCCAGCAGCACTCTCATAAACTGCTGGGTAACAAACATTTAAAAAGAGACTCTACAAAAATAGGCTGCATGTGCACTAAGCTCAAAAAACACAATCAAGATGCTATGTTGTTATATTTCATATCAAATAATATGATCCCATTTTAAATAGTAAGACTGCTTTCTGCTATAAAAAGATGTCCCGTGTGTGATGCAATAAAAATATGTTTTTCTTAATAAAATGTAAGGTAAAGTGAATCCAGTATGTTTTACTGCCATTTTTAGTGCAAAGCATATTTCGATGATTATCGCGATAATACTGTGAATCGCGATTCTCTAGACCTGAATAATCGTGACATTAAATTTTCATATTGTCCCATGCCTAGTCAAAACGCACTGAAACTCCCTGTGTTACACATCATTGTAACTGGTATGTCTGCAGGTTCATGTGGAGCAGAAATGTATCTATTTGAAAGTGAGTTTCCTCCCTGTACATCCCGTACAAGCTTTGACTCTTGTAGTTAGCGTGCATGCTCTGCTGGGTCTCCTCTTGAGAATCACGCCGCGACAAAAAGTAGGATCCTCTATAGTTCCGCAGCACAGCAACCCCCCCTCCTCAGTGACATTCAGAGACATTATTAAAAACTGAATGTTGAGCAGTATATTAATAAAAATTCTTCTACTAAACTTCCCGCTGTACTAACTCAATTTTTTCTAGTTAATGCCCGTGAAAAGGTGCAAAAGAAAGATTCAGTTCAAGCTGTGGGAACCAGAGTAATCTGTGTATTAAACGCTTTGTGTTCTCCTGCAGCTGTCCGACCCCAGGCTGTGACGGCAGTGGCCATGTGACGGGGAATTATGCATCACATCGGAGGTACTGTAAATAATTACGCTCTCATTAACACCGGCAAACAGATATAAAGACAAGAGAAACAGTGCTGATTGTTTAATCGTGTTGAAACAGTTGAATCGTAGCTCATAGAGTTTGATTTTAAATGTCATTTTTTTAAAACACGGTGACACGTAAAAAGCTTTCTCACGAAGAGAAGGTGGAATTGTGTTTTCAAATGATTTTGTATAAATATGCTTTGAGACATTTTATTAAGATTATTTAATTCAGCTGTGATCAAAGAGTGCATTAAAGTGACTGTTAGCTCTTTATCCTCTCCAGTGTGTCTGGATGTCCCCTGGCTGACAAGACACTCAAATCACTGATGGCAGCCAACTCTCAGGAACTAAAGTATGTGTTTTCAGAACTGTTATTGTTACTAAAGGATTTTGCACATTAAACTAGGCAGCTTGTTTTTCTGCCTCAGTTTAGGTCAATGCTTCTCCTTTTCTTTCCCTTCTACTACACATTATGCATGATTTCTATGTACTCCACATGAAGTTGTTTGGTATTTGTACTACCTTTCTGCATATTAGCATGAATGCAGCGCTCTGCTCGCAGTCTTTGCTGTAAAAAGCACCTGGTCTCTGTGTCTCTCAACCTGCAGGTGCCCAACACCTGGTTGTGATGGATCTGGACATGTGACTGGGAACTATGCTTCGCACAGAAGGTAGCAGAGAAAAATCATCGCAACTGAGCATGAAATACATTTGTCAGATGCATGACATTCAAACAGATGGTGAAAGTCTCACTTTATGCTGCAAACATGCTGCACTTTTTGAATTCTTGTTTTTATTGATTTATTTGGCTGCCAACTTCTCCAGTGATTAAACATTTATTTATGTAGATTTATAGATTTGCTTGTGCAAATTCAAACTCAGCAGACCCTCCTAGCTGCCTGTAACAATTGAGCTTTTATTTTTACTCTTAAATAGATTTCCTCCATGTTAACCCATACTGTCGCCAATCATTTTTAGCTTGTCAGGATGTCCACGTGCCAGAAAGGGAGGTTTGAAGCTCACACCAAACAAGGATGACAAAGATGAGCAAGAGCTTAAGTAAGAGATTTTTTTTTCTCATCCCATGCTGTCATGTTTTTTTTTGTTTCAAAAATAAAACAAGAAAACATTGTGATAATGCGTCATGCTTTTGGGCCCGGGGCATTATACCTGGAGGCCATTAAGTTAAACAAAGAAAATAATACTTCTCTTGTCGTAACATTAGTGAATTATTTTCTGAGGATTAGCAGTGTGTTTTTGTGGGATTTTTTTTTTTTATCTTTTCCTATTTTCTGAATGGGATATCTGGCTTATTATTCTTCACTGAGTGCTTTCTTTATAATTATAGTATATTAAGAAAATGCCCGCTCTGATGGCATTGCACTCATTTGCAGCTTAATCATTGTCTGTGAAAGTGTTATTGGAAAAAAGAATAATGTAATTGATTTGCAGTTTAAATCCAAAGTCAGATATATGAGCCCTTGTTTACTTATACATCTGGACACAGATTTTTTCTTTTTAATTACTAATGCAAGGGCATGAGCTTAGGAATTAGACTGGAATAGATCTCATACACATTAAGAGAGAAAGGGAGAGAAAGGGGGAGGGTAGCAAATGTCCCTAGATTATTGTAAATAGTGGGCCATATGGCATGCCTCCATTGTCCTGGTGCCTTGCATCAAGCTACCTACCTGTAGTAGATGTAAGTAATGGGGCTGGTGTTGTTTTGTCCTCTAAGTGCTGCTGCTGCTGCTGTCGAGTAACAAAATGCTGAAACAGGCTTTTTGCAGCAGCACTCTACAGCATGTGTGCCATTTGTATCATCTCAGGTGACCTTTCACCTTTATCAATAAGGGAAGGGGTGAGCCACCTCCAAATTACATTCTTTCGCATGAGGGGATACATGACAATTATCTGTAATTCATGTCACTCCATTACTGACCTGCAGAAAACAGGCCCTGAAAATGCAACTCTTAATGATATTCAGCGTGACTTGTGCTTATGTTTTCAAGCACAAACATCAGCAACCTCCAAACGTATGCGGCGAACACACAGAGCGCTCGCTCAAACTCAAGTTTCACTGGATTAGTAACTTGTAGTTAATGCGATTATTTTTAGTTTTGGCGACTTCAATTTTAATCAGCATTTGGCTGGATTAATCAACTTAATGGTTAACAAATCTTCCGGTCTAGTTATTGAAAGAGAGTTTTTTTTGTTGTTTTTTTTAATGATATTGTTATTTTATGTCTTTCTCTGCGGCACAGAAATGTTATTAAACACAAGTTAGTTCTATTTTTCCTTGTGTGAGTCAGCTGTGTTTACAACATGTACGACTGTCTGTGTGTTTCTCTGGTAGGTGTCCAGTAATGGGATGTGACGGACAGGGCCATATATCGGGAAAATACACATCCCATCGCAGCGCAGGCAGTTGTCCGCTTGCTGCCAAAAGACAGAAGGAGTCGTCCATCAATGGGCTGCCCTTTGCCTGGAAGACCAATAAACAGGAACTGCCCCATTGTCCCTTGCCTGGCTGCAATGGCCTTGGACATGCCAATAATGTGTTTGCCACTCACAGAAGGTGAGGTCGCCTGTCCTCCATTTTATCTCTAAACAATACTGCTGGTCGACATGTTGCATTCTTTACTCTTGTCCACAATCTCTACTGATGCTAAAGTTCTGTCCCAAAAATTGTCATTCACGACCTGCTGAACTAGCTTGTCGGGTTGCCCACTGAACGCACAGAGCATCAAGAAAAAGCACTCGGAAGACGAGATGATGACCATCAAACTGAAAGCCAGCAGTGGTAAGCTACTCTGACATGCTGTGTGGTATGAAATCAGCATTTTGCAGTCATATGCATCTTGGCATGGACAGCATCAGTATTGTCAGCTTGAACATGATAAATTAGATTATATGCTTCAACTCAGGTGTTGAAAACAAAGAAGATATTCAACATTTGGATCATGAAATTAAGGAACTGAATGAATCCAACATGAAAATAGAAGCAGATATGATGCAACTTCAAACCCAGGTAAATATCTACTCCGACAAGTTTATCTTTTAGAGGACAAAAAGGTCTGAGATCTCTGCTCGCTCAATTTGACGAAATTCCTTTCCTTGTACACGAAAGCAGATCTCGTCTATGGAATGTAACCTGAGGACAATTGAAGAGGAGAACAAGATGATCGAACAGCACAACGACAGCCTTCTGAAGGAGCTCGCTCGCCTTAGCCAAGCTCTCATTAACAGTCTAACAGACATTCAGCTGCCTCAAATGGTACAGTAAGCCTTGACCACAGACTGCACTACAACTCATTATATCTAACCTGTCCTGGAAGAAATCTAATTTTCTATGAATTGTCATTTTCTGCTGTTCTGTTTTCACTAATAGTCAAACATGTTTTTGTTGCAGGGACCCATCAGTGAGCATAATTTTGAAGCCTATGTGAACACATTAACTGATATGTACAACAACTCGGAGCATGAATACTCTCCAGAGTGCAAGGCCCTCTTGGATAATATCAAACAGGCTATTAAGGGCATCCATGTTTAAGCTGTAGAGCTACCAAGAGGTTTCTTTGACTTGGGATAATGGCACTAGATAGCTCTATTTTACTGAAGAGTGCTGGCTTGGCTGCATGTATAAGACAAGGCTTTTGGAAATGTGTTTGGCATTTCCCGGTAAATACACTGCACTGAGAAAATTACCAGCCAGATTTGTAATGCTTTTACTGTTTCTGCATTCACTTGATATGTTTATCCTGGTGAGATTTTTACCCCTCTTGCACTTAATTATTTTGTATGGTTTGCTTGATTTTAATCTGTATGTGTTCATGTCATTCTTATATTATCGCTATTTATTATTATATTTGTTCATCAGTGTATTTATTTCCTCGATTTTTATTTATTTCTTGAATTGTAAATGCTTAATATTTGAGAAAATCTGTTTGACTTTCTGCACATTGTAAATTTACATAGAAGCACATTCCAGTTTCATGGCATACTTTCGCCATCTAGTGTTGAAAAACTTATATTATTATTATTATTATTATTATTATGATTATTAAACCATGAGTTGGATCTCTCTTCAAAGTAAAAACCTACCAAAACGACTAAGCATCGATATTTTTAAGCATTGCTTTTGCTTTCTTTATTGGAAACTGAATGTATGGCAAGACAAAGTGAACACTGAGATCAAAAAAAAAAAAAAAAAAAGATGCAATGCACCTGTACTGTACCTTTTCCTTCTTAACCAATAACAGCTGAATGCAACCGGGAGGTGACACTGAGCAAAAAAAATGCAACATCATTCAGTGAACTGAATGTCAGATTCTGCTTTGCATAGCGTGCCACAAGAAGAGTGCAACACAAATCAAAAATCCACTTTGTCAAGATGTCTTTTTTTTAAATATAGATATTAAACTGCCTTCTGTGCACACACTCTGGAGTGTGCATATAGTATGTGCCTAAATGTATATGAATCCATAAAAGTATACGAGTACTATGTTTTGTGGTAGGACAGTATTATGTGGATGGTGTCTAATTTATTATACAGTACAATTATTTTCATAGGAGGTTCCTGATGACTGTTTAAATACCGTTGTCTCAGTAGCTGTGATCTCAGAGTCAGGTTTTGAAATATCACGACTGAGATTGAAAAGTCTGGTGATTATTTTAACTTTTGCTAGCATGGAGAGGAGGAAAAAGGAAGGAGGGAATTTAAAAAAACAACACACAACAGCATCTATTCCTGTTTTATCTTAAACTGCTTACAAGCCTTAACATTTCAACCAGTCTTACAGTTTGAATATTCTTGTAACGCTTGGGGCAGATTTGAATAGTAGCTATTTCAAAACCGAGCTGACTACCACGACAACTCGCATTTCGGTTTCAATCATTAAATGCAACAGAAAAAAAAGGAAGACAAAAAAAAGAAAAGAAAACATAGACAAATGGTAGTTGTTGGCTAATCAGTTGTTTGTTTGCATCAATTGCACTTTTGTATTATTAATTATTTTGTATTTTTAGTTCACCGCACTGCCCTTGACTTCAACGAAAAGCGGGGAATGGGATGCAGTAGTCGCATCACCGTGCTACACAGCACATGTCTCAATTTTAAGTTAAGCCCACAAGAAAAATAATTCATTTGAGCAATACATTTTTCATTTCTGCAAAAATAAAGTCAAAGACATGTAGCCTAGGACATTTCCAAGAAGAAAAAATATAAAAGCAAAAGAGCCAAATTAAAGAAAAATGAGACCCTATTTTATCCAAATACTCAATATGTTTTAAAGAATTTTAATCTTTCAGAAAATTTGAATCAAATTCTTTAAACCTAACAATCCTTTATTTATAATTTCTTATATTTAATTCCTATACCACACATTGTTTGCTCAGGAAGTTTTGTGAATAATATTTATTTTTTCCCTGTTAGTATTTGATGTTTTGTAATGTGAAATGCTTTTTTGTGGAACGATATTAGTATGATATGAAATTGTATTGTATTTTCTTTTCTTTTACATTAAAATGTAATGCTTTTTTTCAGTTGGAGTAGTTTGTAAATTGAAACTTCCTATTACTTTTACTATTTCATAATAAACAGATATGCGCTGTGTTGTACAGTTTGTGTATGGTAGAAATAAACTTTTCAAATGGTGGTGTGGTTTCTCAAAGCTTCTCAAGTCCACCATCAGTCAGACGTAGGTAGACCCAGTTACCTCTGAGGTACCGGGGAGGCATCATGTTTCCTTAGGCATTAGCATCACCTTGTGGTGGATATGAGGTATTACATCTACAGTAACAGGGAGTGGCCAGTAGAGTCAACATACTGAGAGCTGCTGGGGTTAGAAATTAATATACAGGTTTAATATGATGACCATGTAATCGTCCAGTCTAATGTCACCTACCTTCATGTTATCTCTCTACACTAATAAAGGCAGAAAATGACCAAAAAAATACTTAAAATAGATCAGTGCACTTTACAATCACCCTCACTGCTTTCAGTTTAAGGCTGCAGCTAGGGAGAATTTTCATTATCAATTATTTTTTTCGACTAATCATTTGTACTATGATGTGAAGAACTGTTAAAAATGTAGCTCACAATTTCAAAGCCTGAAGATATTTAGTTTACCATAACATAAGACAAATAAAGACAGCAGATCCTCACAGTGCATTACTAATGTCAGGTCATTTTCTCTAAACATTCAATCAAAATTTCTGTCCATACACTAATCAATTAACTGACTTATTCCACTTTAAATAGAATAAAATGGACTAAACTTTGTCATCCAGCCGAGGCAGGAAAATATAAACATAAAACACATCCATAAGACAAAACCATCACATTAACAGAACAAATATATATATATATATTCATACTATGGTGTACAGCCTAGAGTTTCATAGTTACATTTAGTTTGTGCACTACTTCTAACTCAGATAATTTTATTAAAGGGGAAACTAGTTTGGTTTCCCATGTAGGGATGCAGCAGTACACCGTGAAACCATATAATGTAGTATGAAAATTGACGGTTATCTTACCATGTATGTTAACTTATCTCTGGTACTTTAAAAAATTGCAAGCCGGACAGACACCTAACATTTGTACGCACATCTCCTTTACTTCTTCATTTCCTGTCAGACTTTTAACTTTTAGTCAAAAAAATATTTTTAAGTTTAAAAGAAATTAATTTGATTAATTCCTTTTGGATCATAGTAACTGATAATAATAATAATAAAAAAAACCAACAAATTTACTACTACTACTACTACTACTAATAATAATAATAATAATAATAAAATAATAATAATTGTGTGATACTGCATGCCATGAAACTGTGATATTATCATTAAAACGCTTAGGTACAGTCAAAAGTATTAAAAGAGAAACAAGTCAGACAACATAAAACAGACGGCCACAACAGCATCAACACTAACACACAAACTAATAAATATTCAAAAGGATTTTAGTCCAGTTCAGGAGCCTGGGCACTACATGTAATCAATAAATCAATGCATAAATAAAAGACTGACGAAATTTGGTGCACTTGAAAATGGGATCAATAGAAGTGGAAATAAACATAAAATAAAGCCTTAAAAATGAACTTCATAAATGTGCATAAGTACTGTCAAACAACCGTATCTCAGGAAACAAGAAAGTATCACATGTCCTTTGCTAATGTGGGCACAAGATATCTTCAGCACACTCAAAACACTTTCAAGAATACTGGTGGACAACTTTCAAACTGAAGTGCAGTTTTAACTCCAAACACTTTTTTTTAAAAACTTAGTGGGGCGGGGGTCATTAAAAATCAGATAACATGTTATATGGACCGTCTGCCTACAGATAGTTTATAGAGTCTTTGTCGCATTTCACGCATTTATTAGCTGAAACTCAAGTGTTTTACTTTATTGTGTAGATGTTAATCTGTTTGTGACAACAGTGGTGTAGTGGTAGTTGATGAGGTGGATGTACTACTAGGTAGGTTACCGATGAGGAAGTGGGAATACTCTCCTATATTACAATGGCTGTTTTGCTGATAGGTGGGTATACTGTCACTGGATAGAAAAAGAAGTGGGTATACCCTGTATACCTGAGTATACCCTCCACTACACCACTGTGTTACAATTTTGACAACATATTCTCAGAATAATTGAGGAAGTAGTTCAACTGAATCATTCCAAGAACATGTAGTTAAGCTCCTGAATCGTCACATACACTCAAAAGACAATCTCTTAAACATCAAAGTACAAAGTGAAACAGTTAAATTGCTGAACCTCAGCTAATGTCATTAATACTCCATGAACTATCTGTAGGTGGACTGTCCAAATAAAGTGTTAACAAAAATCTTCCTGTGGAGCCTACATCCTGTTTCTTTATTTTATTTAATTGTTCTCCAGCTGTCTTCATCAATCTGAAACCAACACAACAAATGTTGACTATGACTCATTTTCACTCCTGCCACTTAAAAAGAGCCAAAAACGCTCTGATGTTACTACTTTTAAGTCACATGACATACGTAGAGTAGGAATCTGGCGTGAACAGCATGACTGATCTTGAAAACTATTTCTGTTATACTATGCTGCAGTAGAGTTCACAGAACGATCGAACAATCTGCTTCATTTAAATCCATCCCAAAATAATCTGGGCTGCTCTAATTGCACATCAAGGATCCCCTGCAATGACAGTTAAATGTATTCTTCAATATTCTGGATTGAATATTAAGGCAACAGATGAGCATTTACTCAATTATATTAGATTTCTTTATGGAATCGCATAGAAGGATAAACAACACTCACCAGCCACTTTATTAGGTACACCTGTTCAACTGCTTGTTAGCGCATATAGCTAATCAGCCAGTCACGTGGCAGCAACTCAGTGCATTTAGACATGGTGAAGACGAGCTGCTGAAGTTCAAACTGAGCATCTGAATGAGGAAGAAAGGTGATTTACACACGGGTTTTCTCACCAAAACTGGACAATAGAAGATTGGAAAAACCACATTCAGATGGAAGCATGGATCCATGCTGCCTTGTATCAACGCTTCAGGCTGCTGCTGGTGGTGTAATGTTGTGGGGGAGATTTTCTTAGTACCAACTGAGCATGGTTTAAACACCACAGCCTACCTGAGTATTGTTGCTGAGCGTGTCCATCCCTTTATGACCACAGTGTACCCATCTTCTGATGGCTACTTCCAGCAGGATAACGCACCATGTCACAAAGCTCACATCATCTCAAACATGACGATGAGTTCACTGTACTCCAATGGCCTCCACAGTCACCAGATCTCAGTCCAATAGAGCACCTTTGGGATGTGGTGGAACGGGAGATTCTTATCATGTATGTGCAGTTGACAAATCTGCAGCATTTGTGTGATGTTATCATGTCAATATGGACCAAAATCTGTGAGGAATGTTTCCAGCACCTTGTTGAATCTATGACACCAAGAATTAAGGCAGTTCTGAAGGCAGAAGGGGTCCAACGTGGTACTAGCAAGATGTACCTAATAAAGTGGCCAGTGTGTATTGTCATCTGAATGACACAAAGTTGAAGATATTCTAAAAACCTTAAAGCCCATGCACACCAAACTGACTGAAATAGCTGGTGCCGACACAACAAATCAACAGAATACCTCGAGTGAAGAATTCTTGAACATGGATCCGACTTGTGGTGGTTTGGTGTCTGCATTATATGACACTATTCAAAAGGGTTGCCTCCCATCATTTAAT